TGTTGAAGGCTTAGTATGCATGTTGTTCATTATTATGGTTATGTGGTGGTACTTTTGGGGAAACTCACTAAGCTTTAGGTTACAGTTTTGGGTTATGTTTCAGGTACTTCGGATGAACGCGGGAAGGCGAAAGTGTGACTGTACACATCCTATTTTTATAACTTATAATTTTGGGAGACTCGGATGTTTGGAAATGTTTTTAAACTATGTTTGTAATCAATTTCTGAATTTGGGTTGATTTTAAAAGTTTAAATTTATTTAAATTTTTATTATGTTACATTTTAGTAGAGCGTTTTGGGTTTATTAAATTAAATATAAAAGCAATGCAAGCATCCATTTAGCTAATTTTTCATGACATAGTAGAAACATAATTCAATAAGGAGATAAAACGTACAAAAGGTGATAACGGGGGATAATTCATATCATCGTCCATGATGGATTTTTATGTGAAAAAGGGAATATTTTTAGACATAACTTATCCACATACACTACGGAAAAAAGGGGAGGTAGAATGGAAACAGAGGCACATTCTTGAGATTGCACGCCCCGCTAAGTTTGAAACGAACTTACATGTAATGTCCCGATTTTTAACCTAAGTTTTTTTTTCATTTTTATTTATTTAAATATATCATAATATCAATACATTATGCAGAAACATGTAGTGAATATGCATGCGTATAGTCAAACCTTTATCTTCTCACGAAGTACTTTAAAAACATTTATAATAATTGGGTAAGCACGAGGCTTACCGAGTTCCCCAAAATACCATACAAACAATGACTTACTACCTGCCAATAATATGTGTACTTACGGCCTACACACCATTTCTTTAACATGGGTCTATGTGTACTTACGGCCTTCATGTCATTTCGTTAACACAAGTCTATGTGTACTTACGGTCTATATGCAATTTTGTTCACTTACGTTTGGGTTGAATTTAATAGTTTAAATTTATTTGGATTTTTACGATGTTACGAGTTGGTATCAAAGCATTGGTTTGAGTGAATTGGAGGAAGTATCGTGTGAATCCAGTCTCAAACTAAGGAAAAAGATTTTATAAATGATTTTTTGAAATAATCAAAGAGGATGTGATGTGTATGATTAGTCGGAGCCAATTAGTAAACCCCAAATTACCACACTGTTATTTTGATATTGTGATATGTTAGGAAAACATGCTAGTGATAGGCTACGGATCTTCAGGAATTGCATGACAGAATTTCCTGATTATATGATGCCTGACAGCCTAGGATTTCCTTATTTAAAATTGACATCATTACTGTAGTTGCTTTGTGTATGCATCAAAAATTGTACAAACTAAGATTTTATAGCCTGAGAATGGTTGATTTAGCCTTATTTCATGTTCCTTGTCTGGTTGTGGGATTAGGCATTGAATCGAGTATTCGACTGTCTATAGGATCCAATGTTATGTATGAGTAGCATACACGAGTGTTGCAAGGTTGGTGGAAGTTTCATGGATGATTTGTATGGGGAAAGCCGACCATTCGCATATTGTTAGCCTTCCTATAGGAAGTGATGATAGATTGTATGCGTAATCTAGTATGTATTATTAGGGTTGTTGTGATGATCCTCTTAGACAAATATGGGTAGGAGAGGGCCATGTTGTGTCCTGAGTTTACCGCTTCTGAGAAAGCTCAGAAGACCTATTACTTGAGCATGCTCAAGATGGACATTAGGCAGTTTGTGTCCACACAACTTTATGGTTCATTTTTGGAGTTGCATGTGGCCACCAGGTGGCGAGAGATTGAGACGGAGCTCCAGACGAGGGAGCAGAGACAGGTTTCGGTGCAATCGCAGCCAGCACCAAAGCGGTTCAAAGCTATTGATACTAGATTTGGGAGTCAGAGGGGTCGCACTTGTGGGAAGTGCGGCAAGGTTCATGAGGGGGCTTGTCGATCTGCCGGTGTATGCCACAAATATGGCAAGGAAGGGCACTATGAGAGGGATTGTCACGAGCCGACCCCAGTTCTGAGTACCAAGATTTGCTATCATTGTAATCAGGTTGGCCATATGAAGGTCAACTGTCCATTGCTCTCCGCCAAGTCGGTGCATACCCCGGCACCCTTTCAGCATAACTGATGGGCGTCAGGGGAGGGCGGAGCTCCTAATGGCTCAGGGTCGTGCTTTTCAGCTCACTTTCGAGGAGGCTAGAGGAGGCCCAGATGTCATGACTGGTATGTTTCTATTTATTGTTTTGTTGATTATATTCTATGTTATGCTCATGTATGTACTCCTAATAGGTAGTTCTTAGTGAACTCTTTGCCGGCTCTTGTATTATTTGACTCGGGCACGTGTCGGTCCTTCGTATCTCGATCTTCCAATAGGGAGTTTGATATGCCTATAGGGAAGTTAGAGTGTCTGTTGTGGGTTTCTATCGCCAACGAACATGGGGTTTCTACAACCGCAATGTATCAGGGTTGTGTATCAGAGATCTTAGGGGTGCCTTATCCGATTGATCTGACCCCTATCCCTATGGGGGATGTATGTGTGATAGTAGGTATGGACTGACTGAGTAGGTTTTGCGCCATGATTGACTACGAGGGCCTGCGAGTGGTAGTTCAAACCCCAAGTGGGGGAGAACTGATTATCTATGGTGAGGGCACCAGGGTTGGTTCGGGATTTTGTTCGGTAGCCAGGGCTCAACAGTATATTCAGCATGGGCGTGCGAGTTATTTGGCTTACTTAGTTGATACTCAGGTTAGGGAGCAGACTTCAGTTTCAAAGGTACCAGTGGTCAGGGAGTTTACTGGTGTTTTCCTGGAGGAGTTACCCGGTGTGCCTCCTGTGAGGCAGGTTGAGTTTAGGATTGACTTTTTTCCTGGTGCGGCCCCGATCGCCAAGGCGTCGTACCTCTTGGCACCGCCTGAGATGCAGGAGTTGTTGTCTCAGCTTCAGGAGCTGCTACGCAAGCAGTTCTCCATGGGGAGCGCTAATATTGTTCGTCTAGAAGAATGATGGTTCACACTGGATGTGCATTGATTACTGGGAGTTGAACAACTTAACAATGAAGAATTGGTATCCCCTTCTGTAGATTGATGATCTTTTTGATCAATTGCAGGGTGCATCTTGGTTCTCCAAGATAGATATGAGGTATGGGTATCATCAAGTGAGAGTGAGAGAGGAGGACGTGGAGAAGACCGTGATCCGGACTCGTTATGGGCATTACGAGTTTGTGGTGATGCCATTTGGGCTCACCAATACGTCGCCTGTATTTATGGATCTGATGAATCGGGTATGCAAGCCGATACTCGACAGATTTGTTATCTTGTTCATTGATGATATCCTAGTGTATTCCAAGACCAGGGAACGGCTTTATGCTATGTTCCTGAAGTGTGAGTTCTGGCTTCGAGAGGTCCAGTTCTTGGGGCATCTCGTTAACTAAGATGGGATTTTGGTCGATCCGGCCAAGATCGAGGCGGTGATGCAGTGGGAGGTTCCGAAATCTCCCTCAAAAACTAGGAGTTTTCTGTGTTTAGCAGGGTACTATCGGAGATTTATTCAGGACTTCTCCAAGATTGCGGTACTCCTCACTTGTCTGACGAGGGAGTGGATTTCTGGTGTGGCCCTGAGCAGTAATCGGCATTCGAGACTCTTAGACAGAGGTTATGTGAGGCCTCAATATTAACCTACCCAGAGGGAGTTGAGGATTTTGTAGTATTCTGTGATAAATCCATCACCGTATTGGGGGCGGTCCTTAAGCAGATAGGATGAATGATTGCTTATGCACCGCGGCAGCTGAAGCTGCATGAGGCAGGATATCCCACTCATGACATGGAGTTGGGGGCAGTGGTATTTGCCCTCAAGATTTGGAGATATTATCTATATGGGGTCCATTGTACGGTCTACGCGGATCACAAGAGTTTGAGGTATCTTATGGATCGGTTGAACCTGAACATGAGGCAACGTAGGTGGCTGGACGTAGTAAAGGATTATGACTGCGAGATCCTTTACCATCCGGGTAAAGTGAATGTAGTAGCAGATGCTTAGAGCTGCAAGTCGGTTGGGTCATCAGTTGGGGAGGTGTGCATGAGGATATCAATTGATTTTCCATTGTTGGGATTGATCATAGAGGTACAGGCAGAGGGAGTTCGGAAGGAGAACTTGAAACATGAGAGGATCCAGGGTAAAATCGACAGATTTGTCACTGATAGTCGAGGGTTATTGACCCGATGTGGTCGGGTTTGGGTTCCAGTTTCGGGCGAGGTCATGCAGATTGTGATGGAAGAGGCTCATAAGTCTCTTTTTTCAATACACCCGGGAGCCACCAAGATGTATCGGGATTTGAGATTAAGTTACTGGTGGCCGTGTATGAAGAAGATCGCATGGTATGTCGAAAGGTGCTTGACCTGCAGGATGGTCAAGGTTGAGCATCAGAGGCCGCATGGCAAGCTGCAGCCTCTGGAGGTTCCCATGTGGAAGTGGGAACAGATTACCATGATCACCAAGTTGTCGAGGACGGCCATGGGTTTTGATGCTATATGGGTCATCGTGAATCGATTGACCAAGAATGTCCACTTTTTGGCCATTCGGGAGAGCTCTTCGGCTGAAAAGTTGGCCGATATTTTTGTCCGGGAGATCATTGTTCGCCATGGGGACCCAGTTTATATAGATACAATTCTAGAAGATTTATAGGGATATGATTATTTTTAAAAAGTCTAAAATTTTTTAACTTACACCATCCAAAGCACAAAACTTTTTATTGATTTGGCCCATTTCTTATTTCTTAATTATTTAAATAGTAAAGTAAATATTAAAAAATGTAAAAATATAAATTAAAGGGTGTAAAAGTTTTTTCATGGTTTGGACTAATGGTATAGATGAAATTTTTTTGGACCTTATCCACAATTTTGAGCAGAACAGGATTATTAATTTGTTACCGGAAAAAAATTGGTTTCGTATGTTGTATGCTGCCCAGAAAAAGATGACTGTCATCATAGCTAAGTAGCTACCGAGAATGATTCCGGTAGCAAAAATCTCTGACTCTAGTTGTCTGGTAACGGAGAGGGTTTTACTCTATCTTTGGATAAGTAGCTACCGAGAATGATTCCGATAGCAAAAATCTCTGTCCAGCTGTCAGGTAACGGAGAGGGTTTTACTCTATCTTTGGAGATTGTCATAATTGTACCTGGAAATCAAATATAAAAAATATTTAAAAAAAAAAAAAAAAAAAAAAAAAAAAAAAAAAAAACTTTTAGTTTAGACTTTACATAGTATTTTTAATTAACATTTAGACTTCATGAAGTGTTTTTTTTTTCTTTCTTGGCCTATATAGATAATAAGAATTAAAGAAAGGTGTACAAAAAACTCTAACCATCATTGAGAATAGCAATGATAAGCGCCATGAAGGGTGGAAAGTCGAACTTCCATATAAGGGCAAGCAGCATGAAACCAAGCTGTTGTAAACATTTATAACCAGAATAAATTAGTTGTGTATAACTAATATGAATCATAAGTTATACAAGCTGGAAACATAAAAAATTAATTTGTATTACAAATTTTAAATAGGTTCGATTGACATGTGTGTTAGCAAGTTGGGTCTGAAGGATATCTTCAATCCAACTTGAGGGGGAGTCTTGAATGATGCAAAGATTATACGGATCTTTCCTGGTTTAAATATTTCCTATTCTATTTTACTTATGTATATAGATACAATTCTAGAAAGATTTATAGGGATATGATTATTCAGTAAATAGTGACAATTAGTTTAGCATTAAATTAGCTTGTAAACTCTATAAATTCTGTTGTATTCTCCATGGTTAGTAATAACAAGAAGAAAAATTTGTTCTTCAAAATTCACAGTTTCACCTGATCAAAATTAGCGGTGTGTTAAATCCCAGGCTACAAATGGGAACTATTTTACTTTAATTCCAATAACAGGCCGTGAATCATATGTTCTCATGCATATCCTAAATCAAACGGATCAAAATGACTTCACATACCACCATACTGTTCCTGTGAAATGACCTTAAGAACAATGAAAAACAAGCATGTAAAATCTTTAAGCATATAATAGTCTGTGGGATCTTAGAAAGAAAAAAACCAAAAAACTTGATATCAATCAAACAGGTTCTAGAAGCTTTTCAACCGAACTTACAAGCTTTGGGAAAAAGAAGGTTTGTTCCGGAAAATTCTTGGTTTCGAGCAACTTCAATTTGGGCTTAGGATTGAGTGTAAGTTCACATAAATGTCTTACATTCAACGAATCAGCTTTAGAGCATAAAGTATATATTTTCCCCTTGAAAAGATGTAAATACTTGATATTGATACGTAAGTCGACACGATTCCATGATCCCTTCTCACCCTCTCTAGAAATCCATATTTCCTAGTGATAGGATTCACAAGCCTGAAATCGTTCGTTTTCTTCCTGAACAAGATCAAGTAACCACAAGTTAATCCAATAATGGAGCTACCAACAGAATGGGGAAGTATGGTTTTGAACTTTCGTCCTTGAGAATCCTCTAGGCAGCATTCCTTATCTTTATTATTACCATGAGTAGAGATACGCATCACCATGGGTGATTTGGATGCCATAAACGTTTTCCAGTTGCTGAGTGCTACTGATCTCCATGTCTTGCAAGCCCCACTGAATGCAAGAAAATCGATTACTCCGAGTTGCATCATAACTAATAAAAGCACATCATTGTTGAGATATGACCATGGTCCCGCATCCACATCATCAGTCTTGATCATCTTACTACTGCTGCTGCTGCTAGATGATGCATCATCATGATTCCGCTTTCTACTCATTCTCCTTGTCATAACCATTCTTACACCTACAAACACACAAAACAAAAATGCACTGTAAATGCATATTCCACTAAATCATACAAGACTTGTAAACAAGCACATGAATGAACAGGATCACCAACAGTGGCCAATCTAGGATTGAAAATCACAGGTGTCCATTTTAAATGTGAAACAAAATCAATAGGATAAGTTTTTTTTTTATCGGGTCGGACTGTCAAAGACACTATCCAAGATAAATATAGTATTAATTTTAATACCAAAAATCAAAGATAGTTTCAAAAGTAGTAGTAAATATCTTACAATTATTTAGGACGAATTCTTATATTTTGAAAATATTTGTACATGAATATATAACAGTAGAAAATCATTTATAAATCATTCTTTTAATGTGTTGTTTTATAATCGTGAGACAAAGAACATGTTTTCTTTTCTTTTATTTTTTTTAGAAAAAACTTTAATATTATAAACAAAATAAAAGCATAAAGATATATGAATAAACAAATATACAACTAATATTATTCTTAGATTTTACTTTAAATTATACATATAAGTATATAATTATAATTTAAATATCTAATCAGAACATATAATATTTATAAAGAGATGAAAAGTAAAATGTTAGAAATTGATAACTTGTTTGTTGTACCAAGATAAAAAAAGTTTTCCTGACAAAGTATGGTGATGGAGTCGATGGTTGTTTTTATTAATTGCTAGTTTCTAGGCTTTCACATACAAACTCATTTATCTCTTCTTCTACCCCATAAAACACCAAACTGGAATTAACTCGTTAGAGAAGAAAAAGTCGTTCAAAGAAAAACGCAAGAGAAGAAAAATAGTTACCTCAAAGTAACGGAGTCGGAGATTTGAAGAGGTCAAGCAAAAGCAGGTGCAGGTGTCCTCCGGTAGGCAGGTGTGGGTTGCAGGCGGAGGCGGCGAGGGATTAAGAAGACGAATGTAGTTTCCGATTACACCAAAAATTATAATTTCTTAGGTTTTTCAGTTTTAAGTTTTCACCATTCTATTATTTCTTTTAGCCAGAAGTTATACTAAGTTTGAAGAATTTATCTTTTTTTTTGTTATATTTATAGAATCGATTTGGTTTTGTTAACTGCCTCCTAAATCTGTGCTCCTAAAACTTTAAAAGAACTTAAAAGTTATATATATTAAAATCGTGTATTACTTTTTACTTTGTGTTACATGCATCCAAAGGGACAAAGGGTGTCCTATGTGGGATCCCCATGGGTGTCCTTTGAAATTTACCACATATATTGTAAATAAAATTTCAAAAATAGGGGTGTCCATGGACACCCTTAAGATACATGTACCCTCGTCTCTGATCACCAACTGAAAACAAACACAAAGTGTGTGTCTATGATACGAATTCAGAACTACTAAAGTACCACACAAACAAACAAAGATGTACATGATTATTCTAGAAGGGCTCCGGGGGCAAATCAGGAAAAATGGCTAAAATCTGTTATAGATAGAGAGAGAAGAATAAAGAGGGGGAGAGGGATTTCATTTTTGTATGTCGATTAGTATGTTGAAGAATATTAGGCTCTTAGCTTTTCGCTAGTGAGGGAGGGAGATTTCCTGGAATTGTTTGGTGTTCATATTACATCATTTTTACATTCCATTTCATTCGTCTTCTTCCCTAGTTCTTCCCTGCTTTCGTTTAATTTCATTATCCCTTGATTTCTAATCTTCATCGGTCTACAACATATCTCCCTTACCCTAACGTCGATGCTTATAGATAATCCAAACACTTATAGAAACTCTATATCAATTATACAATGATCATAATCAACAAAGCTTAAAAACTAAAGAATCACACAATCAAAACACTTCAAGTAGGTAACATTCCACTAGACATAACACATATAATCAAATTAGTAAACAATTCAAAATTAATTTCATGAAGCATATAGAGATAATCAAAACAATTAAATCAACCTAAGGCACGTTTCCCGATCAAATGAACGCATATATCCTAAAGCATCAAAACATCATGGGTTAGAAGTGTCTTTCAGGGGAAAGAACGATGATTTGGAGTTTGTGTGGGGTATTTTTGTCCGAGAAAATCATTTCCATGTCTTCTTTACATTAAACTATATTGAATGTTCTAATTTTACAAAATTATTTTTGTTTGACTGTATAAATAATTATTTCTATATAAGTTGTTTCATAGCAGTGTTTAAGCTTGTTTACAGGGATAATCACAAATGCAGTCAACATAGGCTATACATTTCTCGGTTACCAAAAAGTTTTGTTCAAAATCAGTTTGAGAAAAAATGTGTTGCATTCGTCTCCAAAAAATATACCACATTGCATGTCTAAATCAATGATTTTGGTCTTGTAAAAAAATACAGGGATACCCAACACATTCCATACAAGAGAATTTATTGGTCATTGGTATGGTTGATAATTTATTACAAATTAAAAAAAGAAATTGTAATAGGATATAAATAATATCTTTTATCATTACCCTACATAAAGGATAATCATTCCTTCTATTTTTTCACACATAGACATATGAGTTGGATGAGAGTTAGCTACTCGTAAAATGAATTCAAATTAAACATTTTGAATTCATTTCAGATAAAATATAACTTGAATGAAGATATACATGTCTTTAAATAAGTAATGTAGTGAGTCATGGATTTCATTTAATCCATATCAAATCTATTATGAATTTGAATATCTTGTCTGTATATATAGATAACTATCTGAGCCTAATGAACCAGAACTCAATAACCCAAATGTTGAGCATAATCCCCTGGATTTTTTTATCGGTGCAGAAAGAAAATGGGATAGGTGTAAGGTCAAGATGTATTAGGGTATTTGCATGAGAGAGAGAGAGAGAGAGAGATAGAGAGAGAGAGAGAGAGACTATATATTTAGTAAAAGAGGCATGTAATAGGGACCATGTAGAGTGTTGGATGAAAATAGGGTTTATGTTGGAGATCTGGATACCCTTTAGATCGTGTGAACACTTTCCGAACTGATATTTCTACTTTATGCCTAGGTTGCAAAAATTCATCCTAGGATAATCCAAGAGGACACTTACGAATCTAGGCACAAAAATCGTAAGTCAAATTGCTAGAAGGATTCTATGTTCGTCCGAAGAAAAAAAGAGTTGATGAACGTGTGTTTTTTATCAAAGAGAAGAGACGTTTATATAATAAACGAGATTAGGGTTTGCCTCTTAGGGTTGGCCGTCATGGGTTGCTTTTGGAAGCAAGTCAGGGAAATCCGGATTTTAATGAGGATTTAGGGTTTACAAAACTAACGAATTTCGTTAGTTTTACCATAATCACCTCAAGAATTTGAATTTCCCACAATGTTCCCAACCAAGGGCTCAGCCCCTTGGACCCTGCTAGGGGCGCTGCCCCTAAACTCCGCCAAAGGGGCGCTGCCCCTTTGAAAACCCTGGACCCAGGGGTGCTGCCCCTGAACCCCCGACTTGTCGTCGAACCGGCTTCTAATTTAATCTTATACATGTGTGCACTCCGCACAAACCCATACATATATTAGAGTACAAATTTTGAAGCCCCGTAGATTACATGTTAGTTCCAATTACATAAAATGACATGGTGAAACTAAAATCTCCAACATAGAGAATATCTTTATGTTAGTGGGATCGGCTATCTAGCTTGGGCAGAAGGTAAATAAATCATTTGATTACCCTCTCTGATTTGATAGTTTGTAGTTGTAAAAATTGTAATCCATTTTCAGTTTCATATTAATCAAGTCACAATTACTTTTGATCTTCATCTAAATTAATCTTATCATAAGATTACACATAGAAATACTAAAACATCATTATTTTGACATAAAACTACGTAATAGAAAAAAATCATTTCTTAGATTCTCTCTCTAAAGAAAACGTTAACAGAATATGAAATTTTCTTTTATTCTTACGAATAAGTGATGGATTAGAGGGAATCAAAACACAATGAAGGTGGTGATAATTTCAAGGTTTCAAACTTACAATAAATGTTTATAGCTCAACTGATGGATATATATCTTTTAGGTTGTTTTAGTTTAATACGGAATTGCCTTTTTTAAATACCCACTTGAAAAGATTATGAGATAGACATGTTTTAAAATTTATGTATGAATTGAAGCAGTTTACTTTTCAATTCAAGGAAGTAGCAACACAATGGAAATGAGGGAGATGAGATGAGATAGCATAAATGGAAAAAGTAAGAAGGTGCAACTGAGATTTGAAAGTGAGTAAAAGTAGAATACTAGAGAGTAGTTGTTGGGAAAAAAACTGTTTTAAAGATTTTTATTAAAACTACGTAGCTTTAATTTGTCAAAACGACGACATTTTTGCAGTTCTATACCTAATGTTATTTACATGAAAACCAAATATTGCCTTTTCCCATATATTTAATAACTTATTCACTAACATAACTACTTTTTCTTATATTTTATCTATTTTAGAATGTTAAAACGAATCTTTCTTTTGTTAGACTCTATCTATTGGATTGACCTAAATTTAGCAATCCAAGAAAGTAAAGTATTTGCGGATGAATATTTATTTTTCAATTTCTATTTCAGTTCTATAATTAATTGATTACTTTTCCGAATTCTCGCCATTAGACCTAGTATATCTGCAGAACTAAAATTTGGAGTGAGTGTATCATCTCCAAATTTAATTCCAAAACTGCCCCTGGCCCTAATGGCAAAACAATATCACATGTTATAATTTTGTTGTATTGGCGGTTGGCTGAACAAAATCTTAATTTATTTATTTTTAATATATGATTGATATATATTCTAAGATTCACTGAATTTAAATACTACTGAATTCATTAAAATATAAATAATGATGTATGTATTGCAATTCACAAAGATATTGGCATAAATTTAGTCATTTGTGTCTGGATGTGTATAGATAGATACATACAAAATCTTCGTCTTGCTATCTACCAAAGACTGCAGTGACTTACGTTCAATTAAGGATAGAAAATAACTGACCTAAGCTTTTACTA